AAAGGAAAGGAAAGGAAAGGAAAGGAAAGGAAAGGAAAGGAAAGGAAGGGAAGGGAAGGGAAGAGATGGAAAGGAAAGGAAAGGAAAGGAAAGGGAAGAGATGGAAAGGAAAGGAAGGGAAGGGAAAGGAAAGGAAAGGAAAGAGATGGAAAGGAAAGGAAAGGAAAGGAAAGGAAAGGAAAGGAAAGGAAAGGAAAGGAAAGGAAAGGAAAGGAAAGGAAGGAACAAGCTGGGGTGGCATAATGGTTAGAAGGCAGAACTGCAAGCTAATTCAGCTCACTGCCAGGAGTTCGATCCTGACCGGTTCAAGGTTAACTCAACCTTCTATCTTTCCGAGGTCAGAAGGACTCCGATTGTTGGGGGGGGGGGGGCAACATGCTGACTCTCTAAACTGGTCAGAGAGGGTTGTGAAGCACCGTGAAGTGGTATATAAGTCGAAGGGCTATTGGTAATGCTATCCTTTCGCAGATGGGCTGTTCAGGCCCTCTGGAGAGGCATGCAGAGATGCCGTTAATGTGCCAACTCTTCCCCTCTCTTAGGACCATCCCCGAGGCAAGGAGGCTGGCTTTATCAATCTCGGGCACCATGGCATCCTTTTAGAGGCCTGGCAGCTTCCACCTCCTTTTTCTCCCCCTTCCCCCACCCTCTCGTTCAAGGAGCAAACAGGGGGAAAAAAGAGTTGGAAGCGTATTGCCAGTCCCCGAAGTGCTTAGCAGATGGTTCAGTCGTGGAGAACAAAGATTGCCGGATAAGTGACAGGGGGCTACTGGGATGCAATTAATCATTCCTGCCCGAAGAAGAAGGCCCACGGAGGGGAAAAGGGAGTTGTAAGGGGGTCTCCATCACAGAAGGCAGAACGCTCTGCTAGCTCAGCGTTAACGGCGCAGGTAAGGACATGCCATTCATCATAAAGCCAGGGCTATTTTTCATGTCCAAACGAGCCCTTTCATGAGACGGGCTGCACAATGGCGCCTTTAATTTTGCTCGCTGGCCTGGATTTCTTAAATGCTCTGCTCTATCTATCTATCTATCTATCTATCTATCTATCTATCTATCTATCTATCTTCTATTTTTCTTTCTTTCTTTTCCTTCCTTTCTCCTTGCCAGCCTCCCTTCTTTCTTTCCTTCCTCCTTGTTCCATTTTCTTTCCTTCTTTTTCTTTCATTCCTTCCCTTCCCTTCCTTGTTTCCTTTATTCCTTCCCTCTTTCTTTCTCTCTTTCCTTCCTTCCCCTGCCTTCCTTTTTTCTTTCCTTTCTTTTCCTTCCTTCCCATTCCTTATTTTCCGTAACTTCCTCCTTTTTTCCTTTCTTCCTTCCCCCGCCTTCCTTTCTTCTTCCTTGCTTTTCTTCTTGTTCCATTTATTCCTTCCTGCTTTCCTTCTTTTTCTTTCATTCCTTTCTTCTTTCTTTCCTTGTTTTCTTTATTCCTTCTTTCTTTCCCTTTCTCTATCTTTCCTTCCTTCCTCTACCTTCTTTCTTTCTTTCCTCTTCCTTTCTTCCTTTCCCTTTCCTTCCTTCCTTCCCATTTCTTCTTTTTCTTTCCTAACTTCTTCGTTCCTCGTTTTCTCTTTCCTTTTTTCCTTCTTTCCTCCCTTCTTCTCCTTCTCTTTGTTGCAAATACTTTCAACTCTCTCTCTCCCACTCTCTGTAGTTCTCTCCCCGTCTCCCCATTTTTTCTTCAAAGAGAATAATATACTTCAAAATCCCACCACTCAGCCAGTTTTTCATGGCCCAGCCCTGAAATACCCAATTTTTGGACTTCTTCCCATGAATGGGTGATGTCGCTCCACAGCAGAAGTTACGACTGTTGGCACAATCCACTGAGAATATATGAATGCCAAGCCAACTAAAGTGAATGGGGGACTCCAAAAACTCCTTGTGGCTTTTATTCATTGCGGGAACTGCACTGAAGAACCACCCAGGAATGGGGCTCTAAATTTGCAGCATCACAGAGACCTTCAAGGATGGGTAAAAGCCAATGGAAAGGATCTCAGGAACAAAACACTTTTTTATTTCGGGGGAGATTAAAAAAAAAAAAAAGACAAATCAGGAGGAACATGACTAAACTTCCTAAAATCGGGGTGAGAATCAGCACAGCAAGCTTTTATTCTTTATCGAAAATTCAGACTATTCGGACAGTGTATGCCAAGACAGAAAACAATAGGCCCTGAAATACAGAATGGAACTCGGACCTATATAAATTTGTCTTTACGCAAAGAGAGTGCAAAATAATGGCTAGTTATTTGCACGCGGGCAAAAGGGGAACCAGGTTTCAGCACTCGTCCAAACTATGATCTAACCCAGAGGTGTCCGACCTCAGCAACTTTAAGAGTTTTACAAATGCAGGATGTTGCAGGATCCAATCTGGGTCGGTTACACCTGGATGAGAGGTTTTACCTTCCAAGTTTTTGGTCTCATGCAGGAGAACTTCTCTCTCATCAGTGTGTGTTTTGCGTTGTTCTTTGTGTGGTATTTACACAATGCCTGTTGTGTGTGTGGCTTTTTAGTTGTTGACTGGCTGGCTATTAAGATGGAGTTTGGGGGCAACAAAGACACTGCTTTAAAAAATTTCAAGAAGGAGAATTCTGGCTCGTTCAGGTTTTGTTTTTACAAATACGAGCCAAGGGAGGGAAAAAAACTCATGATGCAATTAATATTTTTTTTAAACTTAATATTGCAGGGACTAAATAGAGTGCACTCCGTAAAACTGGAAACATACTGAATTAATAAAAAGAAGGAAAGTGTATTGCCTGTCCCTCCTCTAAAGGAAAAACATAACGTTTGTAAAGTATTTGAAATCAACATTACAGAAGGATTTACAGAGGAACAGACTTGAATAAATGTCCCATGTAGCAGTCTTTGTGCACTCTTTCAGCATTAATTTCCTCTCAGCGGAACAGCTCTTACACCTAGTGTAAAAGATTCAAGCACAGAGGGAAAGATACTTCAGTCAACAAGTTGTATGGAAAAGCTTGGCTTGCTTTTAAAAAAATTTGGGCTTCTGGCCAAGTAACATTGAGTTTCTATTTATTTAAAGCTCTCGACTTGGCTTGTATTGCCTCAAGAGGCTTACCAAGCAGTCGAGAAATAAGACATGTAAATAAAATTACAGCAAAACCAGGAAAGAATCGTAATTAAGTTCAGCGTCGTAGGTACCTTTTTAAAAAAAAGAAAAAGCTAATGACAGATGAAGCAGCAGAAAACATGCTTTTCGCCAATTCTTATGAAATGAGGTCGAGAAATAACTTCCCTAACTAGAGTCCAACCTTGAAGTGAGAGAATACAGGTAGTCTTTGACTTACAACCGTTCGTTTAGTGACCGTTTGAAATTACAACGGCCCTGAAAAGAGGGACTTAGGACCAGGGGTGGGATTAAAAAAAATCCCAGCCACCGGTTCGCTGCCCGGTGGCTGGGTAGGTGTGGCCATGGTGGGCGTGGCCTATCGGAGGGCTGTTTTTTTGCCTTCCCTGGGGTCTGGAGGCTTCCCTTGAGCCTCTGGGACAGTCTGGAGGCCCTCTGGAGGGGAGGGGTGGGAGGGGCCAGCCAGTCGGTTTCACTACTGGTTCATTGAACCAGATTATAAATTTAACACCTGGTTCGGCAGAACCGGTCCAAACCGGAAGAATCCCACCCCTGCTTATGACCGTTTTTCAGATGGCTGCTTCAGCATTCCTGTGTCATATGTGATTTACATTCGGACGCTTGGCAACTGATGTTGTGGTTCACCAGCAGCCGGTGCCGACGGCAGCGGAATTGGACAGTGGGGAAGAACGGGGACCAGTCAGGGAGTCTGGAGAGGATTCAGACAAGGGTCCTGCGTCCGATGCAGAGATGGGGCCAGGGCCATCTGGGAGTGGGGTGCTGCCTACGGAGCCTCCAGAGTCCGGCAGCAGTGAGGAAGAGGAACAAGGGGAGCCTGTTTCCAGTGCGCGTATGCACAGAGCTGTTAGAAGGCAAGAGCAGCTAAGAGAAAAGGGGCGACTCGGGAGTAAGGCTGGGAGGGGATTGCCCCTCCCATAAGGTATAAAGGTCAGGCCAAGATGACAAAACCTTTGCAGGAAGCAAAGTCGTTCGATCGGTTCAGAATCATTCTGGAAGCTCTTTGTACTTCGGTTGGGTTTTCTTTGGACTTCGGTCGGTTTCTTTTCTAGTTCGCTTGATACTTCTGTTTTTGGCAGCACTTCACAGAACTGAAAGGTGTGTGCTTATCTCGGGGGATTGTTTTGAGATTAATTCCGGCTGGGAATGAAAACAATTCCCAGCGTTGCAAGAAAATAAGTCTTGTTTTTAAAATCAGTGTGCGCGCAATTACAGTTTAGGAAGCCTGGGTCAGAAAAAAATTGACTCGTCTTTACGACGGTTGCAGTGTCCTGGAGTCACATGATTCCACTTAGAGAGGGCTGTAAAGCACCGTAAAGCAGTATATATACAAGCAGTATATAAGTCTAAGTGCTATTGCTACTGCAAGGGACTCTGTGCTAGTCAACTGCAGAAAAAGAAAGGAAACAAAAAACCCACTTTCAGATAACCTTAAGAAAAAAAAAACCCCAGTTTATTCTAAAGTAGAAATGACGGCAGATGGACGGAGAGCTATTTCAGACCGCATTAAAAGCTTCCATTTGGCAAAAGCTGCTGGCGGAGAAGCAAAGAGAGAAGGATTGATTGATTGATTATTCATATCCATATCTAATTTACTTAGGTCTCTCGGTATTTGGGGTTTGTGTAACTTTGGTGAGTCTACGCTGGCAGGATTGATGTGTGTATCCTGTCTCCTGGGAGGCCCTTAAAAAAAATAAAAATAAATGAAAAATGCTGCTATCCCTGCTATGCTGCTATACAAGGTTAGACACACTTAAATTCATCAATTACGTCTAATGCTGGTTACAATAGGAACTGAAGTAATTGGGGCATCCATAATTTTGATGACAAGGGAAATGGCGCAGGAGGGGAGGGGCTGCCAGGTTTTTTAGGAGCAACATTACACAGCCAGAAGCGGTGTCAAAGGACAACGACACGGTGGAGCAGCGTAAAAATCACAGGATCACCTCTGGCATCTTCAGTTAAGAAAGGAAAAGAAGAAAAGGGAAAAGGGAAAGGAAAGGATAGGGTAGGACAGGTTAGAATAGAACAGAATGGAATGGAATGGAATAAAATGGAATGGAATAAAATGGAATGGAATGAAATGGAATGGAATGGAATGGAGTGGAGTGGAGTGGAGTGGAGTGGAGTGGAGTGGAGTAGAGTAGAGTAGAGTAGAGTAGAGTAGAGTAGAGTAGAGTAGAGTAGAAGAGACGAGAAGAGAAGAGAAGAGAAGAGAAGAGAAGAGAAGAGAAGAGAGATATACAGGACAGGACAGATAGAATAGGTATACAGGATAGTGTAGTGTAGTGTAGTGTAGTGTAGGGTAGGGTAGGGTAGGGTAGGGTAGGGTAGGATAGGATAGGATAGGAATATAGGACAGGAAGAAAGGAAGGAAGGAAGGATTTCTGACAGTCCTTGCCAGATTCCCACCAAGAAATTCAATGGGGAAGCCTGCAGGAAGTCGGAAGTTTCTCCTACTCTACTTGCTTTTTCACCTACCTTCATTCCTTCTGTTCCTCTGTTTGGGTAAGGTGATATCTCTGAAACGATGACCCCACTGGCTGGGGAATTCTGGGAGTTGACATCTATCCGTCTTAAAAGTTGCCACGGTTGAGAAACATTGCTCTAAGCCAGGGTTACCCACTAGGTGGCTCCTCTCGCCAAAATTCCGCCAGAACCGACCATACCAAGTGAATCGAAGAAATGTCTGGCATTCTGAAATTTATCTAACCGTGGGGAAAGCACCCCATGGAATCTTAAAAGGGAATTTACCTTCTTCACAACTCTCTCCCTTGTAGCCCGGGTTACAAATGCAGGTTCCCATGATGCATGTCCCGTGGCTGTTGCAAGAAACGTCGACACACTGATTGGTCGGGACGTCGCACTCGGCTCCTTTCCACCCGCTGTGACATAAGCAACGTCCTTTCATGTATTGTCCGTTCCCGCTGCACAACACTGGGCAAGACGCTGGGAAGGAAGAAGACAACGCCAAAGAGGGTCATGAGACAACACAATCAATGTTGGTCGACAGCTTAAGGAGATCACCAAGATCAGATACAATGGGAGGGGATTTAAAATGGATTACAGCTAGTGTTCAACTTACCACTACTGTTGTGGTTCGCCAGCAGCCTGTGCCGGACAATGGGGAAGAACAGGGACCAGTCCAGGAGTCTGGGGAGGACTCGGACGAGGGTCCTGCGTCCGATACAGAGATGGAGCCAGGACCGTCTGGGAGTGGGGTGCTGACTCCAGAGCCTCCGGACTCTGGCAGCAGCGAGGCAGAGGAACAAGGGGAGCCTGTTCCCAGTGTGCATGTGCGCAGAGCTGCCAGAAGGCAAGAGCAGCTAAGACAAAAGGGGCGACGCGGGAGTAAGGCTTGGAGGTGATTGCCCCGCCCATAAGTTATAAAGGAAGTACAAAGGTAGGAAAACCTTTGCAGGAAGCAACGTCGTTCACTCTGATTGGTTTGGACTCTTGAAAACTCCATGGTGAATTTGTTCTCTGTTTGGTTTTGGAAAGACTTAATTGGGATTTTAGTCATTGGCAGCACTTCAAGTCAGATAAAGGTGCGTTCTTATCAGACGCCTCCCGAAGAACTTTGGCAGATATCCCTGGGACTAATAATAACCAGTTAAGACTCATTTTGGGATGTGAATGACGAAAATTCACAGCCATTGAACTAAAATAAAAGAGTTTGGGGTTTTATATGAGTTTGTTGATGTCTCAGGAAGCCGTGGTCAGAACAACTACAGTGGAGCCTTGGGTTGTGACCGTAATCCATTCCCAGACTCCGGTCACGACCTGATTTGGTCATGTCCGGAAGCACGACCGACTGTGCATGCGCACAGTATTAAAAAAAAAATGGCGCTGAAGTTGAAATCGGTGTGGAAAAGGGAATCTTTCCATGCCGATTTTGTTTGCCACCCGATTCTTGAATTGTGACCTGATTCAAAAATCGGGCGGAATTTTTTGTTCGCCACCCAATTTGTTCACAAACAGGAGCGTTTGCGACCCAAGGTTCAGGTTCCACTGTATAACAGAGCACAACAGTTCCGTTGCTAAGTGAAACTTTTATTAAATGAACTTAATACAGGTAGTTCTCAAGTTATGATCACAACTGATCCCCCAATTCCTGTCGTTAAGTGAGACTTTGTTAAGTGAGTTTTGCCCCATTTTATTACCACACTTGCCACACTTATTTAAGAGAATCACTGCAGGTCAGTAATGTGGTTTTTACATGAGTCTTTTTTCTTTTGTCTACCAATCTTTTTTCTTTTTTGTTATTGGTAGTGCTGGATGTATGTATGCTTTTTTTTTTTTGCTTCTTTTTCTGTTTTGTATTTTTACTTTTTATGAGAAAATAAAATAAATCTATTTACAGAAGCCAATAAACAAAGAAATCTCTCTGCCTAGCAGCCTTTCATGCTTCGGTTTGGGGAGACCCCAAGGAAAGGGCCTGCTTTTTACATGGCGGGGGCCAGACTATCCATAAAGGAAAGAGTTTTTTAAGATTTTAGAATATAATTTAGAATAGAATAGACCTGGAAAGAGACCTTGGAGGTCTTCTAGTCTAGCCCCCTGCTCAAGCAGGAGATTCTATACCAATGGTAGGATTCAAACGTTTTTTACTACCGGTTCTGTGGGCGTGGCTTGGTGGGCGTGGCGGGGGAAGTATATACTGCAAAATCCCCATTCCCTCCTCCACCCCATTAACCTGCTTTCCAGCTCCGTTCTCCTGTGCAGGGCAACCAAAGGAGACCCAGCCAATCAGCTGGGACTCGGGAGGCGGAGAATAGATGGGGGGCGGGGCCAGTCAGAGGTGGTATTTGCCGGTTCTCCGAACTACTCAAAATTTCCGCTACCGGTTCTCCAGAACTGGTCAGAACCCGCTGAATACCCACCTCTGTCCTATAACATCTCAGACAAGTGGCTGACCAGTCTCTTCTGAAAAACCTCCAGTGAGGAAGCACCCACAATGTCTGAAGGGGAGCTGTTCCATGGGTTAATTGTCCTCACTGTTAGAACTTAAGTTGGGTTAACCCTGAGAGGAAGATAACCCCTCAGGCTTAAGTCAGGGAGAGGAGATGCTTAGAGGCCACTTTAATGGCTGAGGTCTGAGGTCATTGGCTATTGCCAGGGCAGGCTCTTCCTTCAAAAGACAAATGCTTTTTGATGGTTATTTTAACCTCCCTGTTTGCACACCTGTGGTTGCCAAAAAGAAGGGGAGGGGGAAATGGAGAGGATGGGGGAATTCTGGGCATTGAAATCCAGACAGCTTAAAATTACTAAGGGACATTAAGGAACTCTGACAGCAATGGCACTTTGACTTATATACGGCTTCATAGCGCTTTACATTGGTCTATTGTCCCCAATGATCTGGGTCCTCAGTTTTCCGACCTTGGAAGGATGGAAGGCTGAGTTAACCTCGAGCTGGTCAGGGTTGAACTGCTGGCAGTGGACAGAATTAGCCTGCAATGCTGCACTCTGACCACTGCACCACCATGGCTTTGATATTCAAAAGATTCCTTTATTAGGAGAGCCAGACAGCCCCAGCAAAAACGTTTCTCTCTCAACGCCGGCTAACATGTCTGGCCAGCTGGAAGATGAATACATCTATTCTGCCATATCTATTCATCTGCGCCCCCCCCCCCCCCGCCTTTTATCCCCAGGGCTAGGGTGCGAATTCGCTAGCAGCAGTGGTTCTTCCTCCCCAAGGACCGGCCTATAGATTTCCACTGCTCTCCTCTCCTCTGCCTTCTGCACATCCGTGCATCAGGCACTGGACCCAGCTGTTCCTCCTCTTCCTCATCAGCCACCTCCACACTTGAGGGATATTGACTCTCCATCTGAGGGCTGATGGGTGGCCCAGGGTCCTCCTCTGTCTCTTTCTCTCTACCAGCTCCATTCCCTCTTCCCCCTCAGAACTGCCAGGTTGCCTTGATGCTGACCCTGACTACCACACCTCCTCCTCCTCCTCCTCCTCCTCCGATTCGGCTGCTGAAGCGGCTGGCGGCCAACAGGCTGGGTTCACACAATGCACCAAACCACACGGACTGAGATTAAAAGTAACGAAACTTAGCAGGGCATGTCAAGCTGTATCTGAACTCGTCTTGAGACAGAACTTCGTGTAGAATGGAGGGATGGATACTTCACCTCGTTCATTTGCTCAGACAGTGCCTGAAACAAAACTCCCAAATTTGTTTAGGGCCTCCTTCTGTGTCAATAATTTTGTGAACAACAACAAAGTTAAGTCTGTACCTCGTCCACAATCAGGCCCCAAAAATCCGAGGAAACAATGGCATGTTCCGGAAATGCAGTCCCCGTTTCCGTAACAGTTGCTGGGACAGTTCTCCACCGATTCTACGGAAAGAAGAAAAGAGAAAAAGTGAAGATAACGTAGAACGGGGCAAAGTTAAACCTCAAAGGGCATTCGCCGATGGGACAGAGGCATTGGCAATCCAATCGTCCTTCTCACGTCAGCCTCCCCTTGACTGGATTGCTGTAACTGACTCGATGTGGGACTGCCCTTGAAGACTACACAGGAACTTCATCAGAGGGTACAAAACTTTAGCTGGTATAAAGCCTGAGCACTAACAGAAGAAGGACTTCGTTTTGTCAGGTCCTGAGTTTGCTTCTAGGCTGTGGGAGGAGGCATGGCAGAAGGCATAGGCAGAGTTAAAAGAGGCATCAGCTTAGAATTCCTACATAGTCACAAGCATACGAAGTCCAATCCCCCTTGAATTCTGTGGACCATTATCCAAATCCAAGCAGACGCTAATTGTTAATTGAGAAGATTTCTGAGCATAGGCCATTTAGCAATAAATCAGCTGAATTGGACCTTCTGTGTGGACCTGGTCTCCCGTGCCCGACAGATATGCAATGGTAGTAATACATAAAGTCCTATATAATTTTGGTAATAAGTATCTACAAAATCACTTGCAACCAAGTAGAATCTTCCCCGGTCAGATTTGGGCTTAGGATCCCTAACTTCCTGCAAGGTGTTCTGGAGGAGATTCGGAACTTGGGTTTGTTGTGAAATGCTTTGCGCTCTCCTGAGCTTTCTTGCAGATGTTTCATGACCCAACTAGGTAGCGTCATCAGTCTAGAAGGAGTGCAGTGTTTGATCTCTCTTTATATACCAGTGTTTTGCTCTGTTAGTGTTAATTAGCTTGTAGTTTACTGTTTGATTGTTTGTCTGAGTTGATTTATTAAGAGTGTCCCACCTAGGGAATCACTTACCCTCAGAATTAAGATCAGAAAAATACACTTAGAACACTTAAAAAGATCTGGTTGTTTAAGCAAGCAATTGAGGATTTAGAAAGGATTAAGTTCCTGAGGCGTACACGGGCACTATTTGTTTTAATTTGCTTCACGGTGTCACAGATGCCGAATTGATTATGGATTGTATACTGTGAACTTTTATTGATTGGATGTGCTGTATCGCTTTTGGTGAGCTCTCAGATTTGCCTGAATGACGGACTATTTCCTTAAATTAACATTTTTCAATAGCATAAAACAGACTTTTAAAACAAACTGTTTCATTCTTAAAACGGTTTGATAAATGTATTGCTTTCAAAACGTATTTTATATATATATATATATATATATATATATATATATATATATATATATATATATATATATATAGTGTTAAAATATGTGTTGATGTTTTTTGATTCTTTTGGTATTCCTTCCCCCCCTATTTTTTTCTGGAGGGAAAAAAAACAATAGAAACCTGTTTCAGATTTTGGAAAGCATTGTATTTCTATTTACTTTGAGAGAAAACAAAAATAAGGATAACAGATAACCAAAACGTATATCTGAGAAGTCAACAGATTACAACATTTATGCAGTTCATAATTAATATGTTGTTTTATTTCAGCAATCTCAACTTTCCACTAAATAATAATATTAATAATATATTATTATTAATTTGAGGAAGGAATATATCTTTAAAAATGGGTACCTATAAAACTATGCATTATTTCATATACTGTAAAAACTCTGTGAAATGCAATCTTAACTGACTATTTGCAAGATTGAGAGGAAAGGACGCATCATGGTGATCACCATCCAACATAGAGAGAAAGCTTATGATGACAATTGGGACCAGGTTGCCTGTCATTGAGTGAAACAGTTGTTAAGCAAGACATCCATGACTACTTTGCTCAACAGTGGTAATACCAGCTCTCCCAGTTGCGGTCATTAAGCAGAGGGAGTGAAAGAGCTACGTGTGAAAAGGAAACTCATACCCTGGGTTGGAGAAAAGAAGGGGGTGACATGATAGCAGGGTTCCAACATTTGAGGGGCTGCCCCAAAGAAGAGGGAGTCAAGCTATTCTCCAAAGCCCCTGAAGGCAGGACAAGAAGCAATGGGTGGAAACTCATCAAGGAGAGAAGCAACCTAGAACTAAGGATAAATTTCCTGACTGTGAGAACAATTAAACAGTGGAACAACTTGCCTCCAGAAGTTGTTAATACTGGAAGTTTTTAAGAAGAGATTGGACAGCCATTTGTCCAGAATGGTAGAGGGTTTCCTGCCTGAGCAGGGGGTTGGACTAGAAGACCTCTATGGTCCCTTCCAACTTTGCTATTCTGTTTATTTCCTTTTGGGCTTTTTGATTGTTTCTTTTGAATGGTATGTAGCTGTTGTTTATCTCAGTGTGACTGTTGATGGCCGATTTGTCTCTGTGCCAGGCTTCCAGGAATTATCTAGCATTTTCGGACTTGGCTTGGTCTAAGATGCTCAGAGTCTCCCCACTGAAACCATAGTTATGCACGTCTACATCTACTCCAAGCTTGGCAGATAGGATTCCTGAAAACCCTCCTGAAAGCAGGACAGGAAGGAACGGATGGAAACTAATGAAGGAGAGAACCGACCTGGAACTAAGGAGGAATTTCCTGACAGAATAATCAACCAGTGGAACAAGTTGCCTTCAGAAGTTGTGGGTGCGCCAACACGGAAGGTTTTTAAGAAGAGATTGGACAGCCCTTTGTTTGGAATGGTATAGAGCAGAGGCGTCAAACTCAAGGCCCTTGAAAATAGAGCTCGGGAGGGCCGTGCGCGGTCCTTCCAGGTTCTGTTTTCAGCCGCGACAGCCTCCGGCAGCCCTCTGCCAGCGAAAATGGTGGGGGGCTGCATTGGCAGAGGGCTGCAGGAGGCTGTCGCGGCTGAAAACAGGGCCTGGGGGGGAATCGCACGTGAGGACTCCCTGAGCTCCGTTTTGTCCGGCAGAGGGCTAGCAAAACAAACTAAAAACAAAAGAAATGGAGAAATGTTTCTCTTTTGCATGCAGGAAGGGACAGAAAGGAGAAAGGGAAAGAGAAAGGAAAAGAAGGGAAGTTGGGAAGAGAGCAAGGAAGGAAAAATAAGGAAAGAGGGGAAGGAAGAAGGAAGGAGAATGAAAAGGGAAGTAAATAAGTAAGTACAGAAGAAGGAAGGAAGGAAGGAAGGAAGGAAGGAAGGAAGGAAGGAAGGAAGGAAGGAAGGAAGGAAGGAAGGAGATTATAATGAGAATGAGGGAAGGTCTGAGGGAGGTCCTGCCTTGGCACTTGGCCGCCCCAGGTGCCCCCCGACATGAGTGAAGTCGAGCTGGCCAGGCCCATCCTGACTATGTCCCCCTCCCCGGACCACCGAGGTCAAACATAACCCTCAATGAAATCGAGCTTGACACCCCTGGTATAGAATCTCCTACTTAAGCCAGGGGGTTTGACTAGAAGACCTCCAAGGTCCCTTCCAACTCTGTTACTCTGTTATTCTGAGGCAGGGATAGCGAAGACCCAAGCTTTGTGCCCCCCTCCCTCCATTTTTTGCCTCCCTGGGCCTCAGGGAAGCCTCCTGGGCGAAGCAGTAAGTAAGCGAGAGGAATCCTGGCACAGCTAATCGTAGGAACAGCTGATTGTTGGGAGGGGAAAAAAAGAAATACCTGAAGGAATGACTGGGCAGGGCGAGCGTCAGTTGGACGGGGTGAGTGAGCATCGGGAGGGCGGGGCAAGCGAACAACCGCCGACTGGGTCAGGGGTGTCGCCAGCCAGAAGTTACTACCAGTTCGGCAACCCACGCCAAATCCTTGCTACCGGTTTGCTTGAACCGGTGCAAACCGGCCGAATACCACCACTATTCAAACAGTTGTTAAACAACCAGTCATAAGTCAAGACAAGTCAAGTCAACTGTACAATGCATAATTTTTGCTCGATATTTTTTATTTAACTCCAGACTTCCTCCAAGTATCAATTATTTCTCATATATATATATATATATATATATATATATATATATATATATATATAAAATTTTTAAAGGGAGGAAATTGCAAGTTATCACCTACACTATTCTTTAATGGAAACAGCTCTAATGATTCATCCCTGTCTTGGGCTTATTAACATTCCCCCCCACCCTAAAAATCAAATGATTTCTTAAAATATTCATGAAGACAGGATGTATTCTGGTACGCAAGGTTGACAAAAATGACAAAATGGCAAGGCTGCTTTGAAATGTTATTGTTTCTGATCCTCCATAAATATAGCGTACGTTGAATTAAAATGGGATGTAATTACAGACGGGAAGTCTTAATGTTCTTGGGACTCATTTTTCATTGTGACAGGTTAGGAACAGCAACGGTGGGAGAAGAACATCTCCTTATATTTAAGATTTAAAAGTCTTTGATGCAAGCAAACCATAGCTCAAAAATATCTTGCCTCTTACGCAGTACATAAAAGGAAATTGTGATATATTTCATGAAGGTGTCATCAATATATAGTGGGCCTTTCTAAATCATGGATGGGGATGATTTAGGAGAAGGACGGGTCAGGCCTAAAAAGCCTATTTCTTTTGAGTGGTCCCTGGGTGCTCTCAGAGCGTGGTGAGTTTTCTTGCAGACGTTTCATTACCCAACTAGGTCACATCATCAGTGCTAGAAGAGAGTGGGGTTTGTGGAATGGAAGCTCGAGG